AAAAATATAAGTACCCAAGGGTCAAGTAAATTAAAACCTTAGAAAATATTAAGTGTAAATTACACCTACACATTTGAGGTATGGTAAAATAATTTCAAGGCACATGTAGTATTAGTAATTACAACAGCAACACTGAAAAAACTAAAGAAGCTAAGATTTCATATCGTGTGGACCCAAATATTAATTGGTATTGTAAAATTTATGTTGCATTTTTTCTTATAAGAAAATCTATGTTTCAAATTGTTGTTCCTAGTTATAATTTAATTAACTCATCTCTAACGTCGACGGTGTAGGGTATACTTAAACACAGTTGAAATAATTTAGCGCATAATATTTTATACATTTTACTAGTGTATCTGGAATGTGTACTAGTTCATAATATTACATGTGCAATACGTACAAAACTGAAGTGAAAAGATACATAGGAGACTTGGACATAAATTAACGGGGCTAGGCTAAACTAGACTACACTAAGCAATCACTTCAAAAAAATCAGTAATCTTCCTAATTGCTTTCCTTTTATCCAGATAAAAATTGCCCTAATCCAGGTGGCAGTCCCACGTGGAGATCAGGTCTAGAGATAGAGTCTTGTAGCTCAATCCTTGTTATTATAATATCAACTTAAAGGAACGAGAAAAGGGGAAAGTACAGTTTGCACCCCTGAACTATAGGTTTATCACAAATACCTCCCTAAACTACAAAACATAGCAAAATAGCCCCTCCGTTTTCAATCCGTTTGTGTGTGATGACGTGGCTAGTTGACTTTTTTCATTTTTAATTGCTTTTATGGCTGCACCCTATTTTTGACGTTCTTACCCTCAATTTACTATATTTGTATCTATACGCACGTATTTATGCACATAAGCTCATTAAAATACAAAAAAAAAAAATATATTAAATCATATTACCAATAAATTCACCAAATTAAACAAAGATTCTTCTTCCTTTTTTCTGTTAAAAAGTTACCACAAACATAATATTAAATCCTATAAATCATGATTTAGTGTTGGAAATAAAAACATAATTAATTATGAAAAATAAAAAAATAAAACCCAACCATCTTATGCTTATGTCTTCTCCAGTTCAAGCGCATCAATCGCTAATTATGCCTCCCAAATAGCGAAATCAATTCTCCAACGACTCTATCCCCGATGACTATCCAATTTTACCATTCGGGAACCCTTGAAATCTGTTGGCAGGAGTCGGCGGGGGTTTTCAATTTCAATTTAATGAGGGGGCGGAGCGAACGACGTCGTTGAAGGTGCTGAATTAATAAGATGGTTGGGAATCGATGGCTGAGTGAACGAGGTTTTGATCCTGTGGTGTTCTCGCGGGCCTAGGTTGTAGGTGGACGTCTACGATTTCACCATGGAGGAGATATGTGGGGCCACCTTAGCTGACCTTCGGGGAGTGGAGCTGAAGTCAATTGACGGGTGAATTTTTATATAGGAGTACTTTTATGATTTAGACACATTTTATAAGGTTAATTTCTACTTTAAACTTCTATTTTTTTTCTTTTGTATGAAACTTTATAGATTTTTAGTATTTTTTTAATGGACCTGTATAGTTTGAGGGGTTGGTAAATGCAGTTTCACAAATAAAAATTTTTTTGCTTTTATATTCAGCTATACATCTGCAAGATGTTTGTAATTTGGGCTTATTTTATATATATCCCATTGGGCCCTTTTAATTGGATGGGTTGAAAGATAGGTATCGATGAGATATGTAGTGTTGGGATTAAACTCCAGAATTCACAATGCTTGGTATGACTTTTGGTTGGCAGTATTGAGCTGAAATTAATAATCTCATGATGAACTATACCGTGTTTTGTATAGCTGATAAACTAGTTTAATGTGGGATTATTTGCAAAATGGTTGTAATGCCCCTGAAATAAAATATTTACCAGCCCTCGCAACTTCTTTAGTTCCAGAGGATGCAGAGATATGCCTCTTTCACTTCTAAACCCTAAGTTTTTCCTCCGATAATTGAAGAAAAAATCCCGACTATTATATCCCGTTTTACAATGGTTTTCCCGTATGAGCGCCAGTTAGACTTGACCACTGGTTCGGTTAGAACCGGAACCGGCTGCGAAAAACCCGATTCGGTTCCGATTCCTTATTCTCGGAACCGCGAACAGACGGTTAGAACCGCGGATTTACTCTCTCTCTCTCTCTCTCTCTCTCTCTCTCTCTCTCTATACTATATATATATATATATATATATTTAAGTATTAAGAAAAATAGTTTCAACGATCAAATTAAACAAAAAAAGTTTTTACGTATTTAAAATAAAATAAGTTTTTCAAATTACTTTCCACTTTAAAAAAAAAGGAACTCTTTTTAAAAAAAAATTAAGTTTTTTAGGTTTTTTTTTAAGTTATATATATATATATATATATATATATAAAATAAAAAAAATTATTAAGAACTGGACGGTTCTGCCGGTTCTAACCGGGAACCGAACCAGAACCGGTTAGGAATCGAACCGCAAGGAACCGGATTTTTTTGGTTCAGTTCCGGTTCTTTCAAAATCAAAACCGGAACCGGAACCGGAACCGAACCGAACCGAACCGAACCATGGTGAGGTCTAGCGCCGGTAGCAATACTTTGTGTATGAGTTCGAGCAGCAACGGGTATGGTTGATTCCATTCAAATGGCCAACAACAATAATTTTGTGATTGCGGTTTATAACTCGCCTTACAAACTTCTTGGACTCCTGCGAATCCAGGTCATCAGTTCTTGACTTGCGCAAAACGGGTACGAATCCATGTCTACCTACATGTACAAGTGAAGCCTTATTGTTTGGACTTTGAACTGCACTGTATCTCCATATTTCATATGTGTGGTCTTTCAAACTCGTTATCACACGTGTACCTGTTAATTTGGTCATTATGTATAATTAATTTTGTCATTCCCTAACATTAATTTTGAATGATCTTCATTTATCCTCGATATTTTTGTAGTAATTCAATATGATATACATAAGGTATATTTGCGGAAACTTGTGTTTGCGGAATTAGTTGATCTAATCTGGATGTATTTTTCGGTTTAGATGTTCATGCATTTTTTGTGTAATTAATCGTGAGTTTGATGTGATAATCGGTATAATAATCAAATAGCTATCAAAATACAATTTAATGGTGAGTTGAGTATTTATATGTAATATATTTGTAATTTTTGTATGATGTAAGGGTAATTTCGAAAATTCACATGGGTTTAATGGTGGGATAATTAAAGGGATAGTTGTCCAGCCAAAATTGGCTTGCCAACTAATAAATCAAATGGGTGATTAAATTAGTGGGGCCGGATGTCAAGGATGGCGAAACATGTGAACCAAATATTGTACTATGGGGTACAACAGATCCCATCATGCCTAGTAATGCTAATCAAAAGGGCCCCTTAGGTGCCTAATAAATTAGGAAAAAACTCAAGCTGAAATCATCTTTATGGGTATCCCGTGGAGAGGGGAAAGTTCTATACTACCCTTACTTGCATTCAGTATTTATGGTCATGCGTTTTGCACTTTCGCTCATTTGTTTATTTATTTTATTTCTTTAAAATAAAAAACTGTTTGTTTATATTGTTATTTTTATATGTATATCTTTTTTATTAATTTTTTTATTTTTTTTTAAATTTGTTTTTTTTAAATCGATATATTTACTGTACTGAAAATTAGGACTACATGTAACTGTAGTTATAGTAAACTATAGTCATTCGTAGTAATGTTCTTTCTTTTTACCCTATTTTTTCCACCAATTATGTACAAACACGAATATGGACGGTTATAACAAAAATCATAAACACCAACAACACAAATTCACAATTTAAATATTTATAATATAAATCAAGTCATAACCAACAAACACAAGTCGAAATACACAATTGCATGCATATAATAGTATGTTACTATATGTTTATAGTAATGTATAGTAATGTGTAGTAATGTATACAGTCTGTAGACACAACAACTTGAAGCTTATATGTCAAAATCATCAAATTCGTCTGCAACTTCAACCAAATTTTTTGGCACCTACAAGGAGAGGAAAAAAATTATAGAAATAAATTTGACGATAAAAAATTGAACAAAATTGTCATCTAAATATAGATCTCGGCGAGAGGAATCAACGGTGAGTTCCCCGTTAAATCTCCGGCAAGACTCTTCGTCGTCGAAATATGCGCCGACTGTAAAACAACTGTAGAAACAGATCCAGAGATCCAATCTGTATGAAATTACCCAAAAAAAAAGGAGTTCGACGAGTTAAATCTAACGGTAGTTAAACCATCGAATTCCGACCACCGGAGAGAGAATTGTGACTTAGGGAAGCAACATCGCCAGTTGGAGACATATGGGAGCGAGATTTGAATCTGAAAGTTGAGAGAGGAAGAAAGAGACAGTTGTGAGTTGGCTGGGTTTTAAAATTGATTTTAAAATGGCATTTTGGGTACTTTAAAGTGGCCGGTGAATATCCCAAATTATTATCAAAATGGAGAGGATATGCTCCAGGATGTAATTTACTTAATGCTTAATTCCAATATTTTCTATATAAGGGGTTCTAAACTAATCCCTTGTAACTAGCCCAAAAATTAAGATACAGGTTTTCTAGATGAACCCGGTCTCTCACAAATACAATTTCATACAGAAAAATATTGTTCCTTTTTCATTCATTATCCATCAACATCATTGAGATGATGGGTGTGAGTCAACGATTAACCGAAATTTTGGTAGAAATATAATACTAAAGACACCCAACATATATCGTAACTGAGTTGAAATTAATATATAGTTCAACCTATGATGCAAATATATAGCAACTAACGTCTTTGCATCTTATTCGACCACACATTACATCGCCGTACATAATAAAACACAACGAAACGAAACACGTATATCAAGGTACTTCGACGCCAAAGGATGGACATGCTTTGAATGTGAAATTTGAAATGTGAACAAACACAATGGAATGCGGATTAACTTCTACTGGCCCTGAGCCAAAAACCGCCTCAACGGGTTCCATGATAGGTATAGCGCCAGATGAATATATCCACGATCAATGGTTTACCGTTGAGTAAAACGGTCTTGCTTTGTATGTTCCCTTCCAAAGGGGTGAGGTGGTACTCTTGTCTAAAATCAAATAGTCGTTCACCGTCATCGTTTTCAGACAATGAAAGCTTTACCTCGGCAGTTGTGTTGCCGTCTAGGTTTATGAGCAATACGACAACTCCATGCTGCAAGATCATATGATATATGTTCAAATCAAGTTTCTTCTATTGAAAGTGGGACTTTGAAAATTTTATAAACGCATCATGCATGTACAATAGAGGATAGCTACATTATTATTTTTTATTTTTTTATATATTTTATATAAAATATATTTCAATTGTGTCCATAGTTTAATTAACTTGAATCTAACTGTGGGTATACACAGATTAATCTAGCCATGGGTGGCACAACTGAAATGCGAGGAATTTTTGCCAACAAGAATACATTTTAGGTCAGTAATTGTATAAAAAATAAAATAAAATAAATAAAATGTCAAGATAATATTGGGTAAATTACAATCACCCCTGAGGTACGGTCAAATTACGAAACCCCCCTCATGTTTGGGTAATTACAACCACCCCTCAACTATAAATCTTCTTACACGTCCATCCTTGCGGTTTCAAATTTAGAGAAATCTTCTAGATTATATGTAATATTATCACTTTTGTACCCGTTTTATCACATTCGAACTCCACATTTTGAAGCAAGATGATCATAATATGTGTTTTTTGGCTTGTATATATTAGATTGTGGTGCATCTCAAATTGTATTTTTACACAAAAAACGAGTACAAACTAGAGCACATTCCACGAAATCTAGATGATTATGTTGAATTTGACACCGTAAGGGTGGAGGCGGAAGAAGAAATCAAAGTTGAGGGGTAAATGTAATTATCTAAACCAGAGGGATTTTTTCGTAAATTGACCATACCTCAGGGATGGTTGCAATTTACCCGATAATATTATAATTTTGTAATGAGGCACTGTCACATAAATAAAAATCAAAAATAAAAATAAAAAAGGAAAAAAAAGAGAAGGTTCCTATATGTTTTAGAACTTACAGGATTCTTTGCGCAATGAGCATATGCACGGATCTTACCACTTCCTTCAAATCTTGTCCGCAAAACATGTTTTCCCATTAAACGGTGCCAAAGAAGCGCGCTACAAAATAGTTAGGTGTGTGAATACCTATGTAAATAATAGTAAGATATCCGCGGTCCATATAAACCTGTAGTAATCGGGATTTGGAAGAAATGTGGTGGTGTCAAGTAAACTGTAGTAGCCTCCGACTAATGTCTGTCGACAAAACACCTTAGTGTCATAAGTTTCTGCCATACCGAGTATGTCCAAATACCTATATATATACATATATAGTTAACTCATCCGTTAATTCATATATACAATCATCAACAATAAAATACATAATATATAACTATTTCATTCATGCATGCACGTGTGTAAGTAAGTTTATACGGCGTACCAAAAACTAAAGACAAAGGTGTTTGTTACTCCATCACGACCACTATTATAAGCTCCTCCAGACTCGCTAACCCAGCCAACCGCCGATGTTCCTGTTTCCTTCAGAAGCTTCTGGAGGTTACGG